ATGAAAGAATAAAAAAGTTAAGAATGATGAAAGTCAAGAGATAGAAAAAACAACAAAAATAATTAAGATTTTCTTACCTGACTTCTACGATGTGGAGACTTGATATAGGTAATCCAGGGCATAATCCAAGCCAGAAAACACAGACACATGTGGCACATATATTCCAATAGAAAAAAAAAGAACACATCACAGGTATTTGCACTATGTACACTTATTTACAGAGGGTGCCAGCAGATCACTGACGCCAGAAGAAACGCTCGGTGTGGTACTTTTTATAGCACCCTACCAAGCACAGGCCTGGTTTGCTTGGGCAGTCGGGACAATAATACCGAGTGTCTCTTCGCGTGCCCTTCCGTGCACACACACGGCACTTCTTTTGTGGCCTTGCTTTTTTTTCTGTCGCTGGCAGAACCTCAACAAAGTGCCGACCGTAGAGTCTTACGCTGTGGTCATCCTCCACAGCATCTGCCGGATTGCCGTCACCGAAGATGAGGTCTGATAGGACATCTTTCTGAAAAGAAAGGAAGGTGCCTTCGTTGCCAGCCTTCTGATACAGAATGAAGGCATTCAAAAGCCCAATCTGTATGAAGCGGATACAGAGCTTCTTGTACCACTTCAAACTTTTCCGTGTTGCATCATAAGGCTGCAACATCTGGTCATGGCGATCAACTGCACCCATTTTTTGATTGTATTCCACAATCGCTGGAGGCTTCTCTCCGGTGCCCTGTGGTGGGTGACAAGTCGTCAGCATGTAGACGTCTCGCTTGTCTACAAACTTTTGGGCCAGAAGTGGTTCGCTGACGCAGCTCTCTGTTCGGCCTTTGGGGATTTGGAGCTGCCGAAGGCAAAGCGGCGCTCTGTTTGCTCTCAAAGTCCCGCAACACGAGGTACCCTTTGAATGAAGAAAGGAAAATAAGTCAACCGATGAGTACCAGTTGTCAACAAACAACTTGTGCCCCTTGTTCAAAAGAGGCAGCATAAGGTGGACTACCTCTTTTGCGGAACACCCCATGCTGGCACAACCTTCTGGCAGCACTTCATTCATGGCCTCGGTATTTTCATCCTTTCCAGTGTACACACGAAATCTGTACGTGTACCCACTGCTATCGCACAACATAAACGATTTTATGCCGAATCTGGCACGCTTGAGCGGAATATACTGCTTGAACAGCAAGCGGCCTTTCCACAGTAGTAGGGACTCATCGATCGCTGTGTCCTGACCAGGTTCAAATGCAGCCTGAAAATGTTGCAACAGGTGGGTCAGGACAGGCCGAGGCTTGAAGAGCCGGTCCCTGTAACAGGTGGGTCAGGACAGGCCGAGGCTTGAAGAGCCGGTCCCTGTAACAGGTGGGTCAGGACAGGCCGAGGCTTGAAGAGCCGGTCCCTGCAACAGGTGGGTCAGGACAGGCCGAGGCT